GACAGACACACATGCTGATACAACAGATACACACACACAGACACCCACGCAGACACACCCACACAGTCAAACACACACTCAAACACAAACACGCAGACTCTGTGACATAGTGCGCTGTGAACCCCAAATCATCAGTTCGAATCTAACAGGCAGGCTTGGCTAGAAAGATGAGGCTTTGTGCCCACATCTAGCCTGAAAGAGGGCAGTTCTGCTATGCCTCAGGATTGCTTTGATGGCAATGAGTTTTGTTTCGGAAAATAAACAAACAAACAAAATATATATACAGCAACACAATGCTTAGTTTTGTATACATAATATGCATTTGTAGAAAGTGTTTATAAATGAACCTCCTATATGTGTATTTCTTTAGCATGTTATTAGATTATTCTATAAGTATTCTATAGATGAGCATATTATGTAAATGATTACGTTCTTCTTCCTTCATCGTTTGATAATTGCAAACTCCCCCAAATTAAGTGGAACATAAAATTGAAAACAACACCTACACTCAAGGCTAATATTCTGGTATCTCCCTTTTCCGACAGTATCTGTGCATATATAGAGATGTAGATGTGATATATGTTTGCATTGATTTAAATGACAGATGTTATTTATTTAAAATGTGTGTGTGTATAAACACACACATCTATATAAGTCAAACTAAAATCTTACATTCTTTGCGGTAACAGTATACCTTGGCCATATCTCTCTATTGGGAAAGCAGTCATGTCATGAAGTTTAGAGGATGTGGAGCATCCCAAGGAGCTGCAGTGGCCCTGTGAGACACACACTGGAGTGTTCACCTTAGGACCCATGGTTCAAATCCTCCAGGCTCTCTATGGGAGCAAGAGGAGGCTATCTGCTCCTGAGAAGATGTAGCGTTCAGAACACCATCCAGGGTCACAAGGGGGGGGTGGGGTGGGCGGGATCCAGCCCGCAGAGGGCTCGCTGTGCGTGGAGAGGGTCCCAGTGGAGGCAGGAATGTAGTTCATTTCCCTCATCAGCCCTGACCCCTCACATTAGAGGACCCACCACCACATTAGAGGACAGCTCCCCAGGGCCTGTCACTTCCTGCATCCTCTTGAATCCTACCGGTCCCTTATATTTCCTTCTTCTTCCCTTGAGTGTGTGTGAGATGCTTACAGCCCAGAGGCCATGTTCGGTCTTGTCCCTGTAAGAGCTGACAGAGCTACAGGCTCAGTTCTCAGACAGGTGCATGATGCTGTCTATGGGCAACAGTTGCTTCCTGGACCTGGCCAGCATCATCGCCATGGTCAAGGTCCAGATGAAGGTATGTGACCACTGGGTGCACCTTCCTCCTTCTGCCAGGGCCCTCACCTCCATATCTTCACTTTGTCTCAAGCATTTTAGGGCTCGGTTCCCCCTGCTCTGGACCTCCCCAGAGATGAGGCTGTGGGAAGCAGGCCAGGACCCTGGCCAGAGGGAAGGACAGAGCAGAGGAAGTACCTGTGGATGAATAATTGTTATAGCTCACACTGGTTGAGGAAATACATAGTGAGAAGCAACACTCCCCATGTCTTACAAATAATACATCATTTAATTCTCAGAACTGCCCTTTCTGTAAGTACTATTATCACTCTCCATTTACTGATGGAGAAACGGAGTCACAGAGAGGCTACATGACTAGTCTAAGTCCACACAGCTAGTAGATATAAGAGCAGACACCACAAGCTGTGTCCTGGG